TCTCCTTGCAGTCAAGGCAAACGCACATTCACAGAGCAAAGAGCAGCGGTGGGAATAAAGCCCACTGCCAGAGGACTACAACAGAATTATACATCAAACGCCACCCCCGTCAGAACAGAGTGCAACCTTCACCGTGAACACGAACAGACACACAGGCGTTCCCTCTGAGCCCTCGTCCGAACAAGCTACTCATGGAAGAGTGAGTATAAACATATTTCAAATCTAATCAAAACACAATCAAGAAAATTAGATCAACACCTGCCAGGCCCAGAGAGACTGGAACTGGAATAGAGACGCTCTTGTATTAATACAGAAGAACAGAATTCAGGACACCGGAGTTATTTTCCCTGCTCCCTACGGGATGGTGGGTGAGTAATTAGCACCTCCATGTTGCATTTTTACACACAAAAAAATGAATGCATTTTCATTGGTCTACTCCTTCAATAGACGGCAGCTCACATCCTTAGCTCCAGGTGTTTTCTGCTGCATTTTAAAAGTGCATTATAAATACAGTCCCATCATGGTAATAATTAACTCTCTAATTGGTCTGCAAGCCTGCTTTAAAATGCTCAGAAGTTGTTATGCAGGTGGAAATATTGCTAGAAAGAAATGAGATGGGACTAATTTATCCTGCAGAGTCTTCATTTTCTGATAGTGATCTACAAATCATAGCATCATAGTGCTTAGGGTCGGAAGGGACCTAAACAGATCATCAGGTCCGACCCCCTGCCCCGGGCAGGAATGGGAGCCGGGGTCATATCACCCCAGAAATGGGAGAAGGCCTCTCACAACTCTGACGAAATCGGTGCGTTTGTCAAATATTCGAAACACAAGCCTCCCACATTTGACCTGGACTTGTGAAGAGACAAATACAGAACCCTACAGTGAGGTTTGGGTGGAGTGACTTTTGTGACTTCTTAGATACAAAACGGAGGAGTTCGAGAGCCCTCGGGACTGCCATCGCTGAGTTTGTGAGAAATGCAAAAGGAAAGAAACAGCTCTCTTAAAGGGAAGCGCATTTAAACATGTCTTGGACTACAAGTGTTAAAAGCAAAGGAAATCGTTCTGAGATACATTACAGAGATGGAGATATTGGAATGTAAAAAAAAATAAATCCCTTTATGAGAGTGAGAGTGGGTTTTTTATTTTGTTTTTTTAATTAAGAAGGGAAGAAGTAAATGAAAAATATATAGCTAAAACAGGAAAAAAAGCTTTCTTTAAGCAAATTAATTTCCTTTGGCATAAAAAATTTTATGTTTACCTTTCGCTTTTGCTAGAACTAATTTGTTACTTTGGATTAGCAAGACACAGAGTCACGTAGTTGCTAGTTTCATAACGTTGTTATGCAAAGCTTTCAAAGATTTGTTGGAGAACCAAATGCTTGTAAGCCTTGAGTATAAACTTATAGAGAGAAATCAGTAAAAATTAAAATCCCTGGATTTAGTATTTAGCTACAGCCTGATATATTCTAACCAGATACTGGAAAATTTAGCAAGGGATGGCACAGTCAGATTGAATGAAATGCCTTGCCTACACATTGGGTATGGGTTCAGTGTACCCCGCTCGGAAACTATGCAAATGAAGACGACGTGCTTAAACAATTTCAAATGACTAAAATAGCTAAATCGCTCTCACCAGAAGGATACGTAAAATAGAGATGTCACTTCCCACAGTAGGATGTGATAGAATCATAGATGTATATGCGATGTAGAGTCTCTTAGAAAAGTAGGGCTGGGAGAGACCTCATCAGGTCAACTAGTCCAGTCACTTGCTCCGGGCAGGAGCATCCCAAACCTTCCCAGATCAATGTTCGTCTAATCTGCTTTTAAGAACTTCCAAAGATGGAGATCCCACAACCTCTTCCAATGCTCAGCTATACTCAGAGTGAGAAAGCTCTGTTATTAAATCCCCCAGTCTTTTCTTCGCCCAAGTAAATAATCCCAGGGGAGCAGCTCATCAATAACAGGATGGATGCAAACAGAAGAAACTTAAGCCAAAGTGGTGGGATTTTACCCTGGATTCTTTCAAGAGTCATTCTTAACCAGTTTGGTTGAAGTTACGCTGGTTGAGAGATTTACATCATCTGTCCGTTCCTTGTTCACACTGGTTTTATGCTAATTTGCCCAACGTAAATATTTCAGCTGTCCACACCTGTCTGCATTTAACTGACCACCGGCTCTACAAACAGCAGAAAGCTTCAACATATATCAACTTTCCAAACTCTCCTTTCTATTGCTCCTTTCTTTAAATTCCAAGTACCACAGCAGGGAGCCTCCGATAGGGGTGGGTAGCAACCAATTTTCTCATCCCTCTAAGCCAATGGTTCCCAACCTTTTTTTGCCATGACCCGTTGCTGGGAGTGGAGTGCGGCGGCAGCGGTGGCCTGGGGGTGGGGGAGCTTCCAGCAGTCCTTGGTGTGCAGTGCCACCGGCATTGCCCCCACGACCCTCATTTGGGTTGCGACCCGTGGTTGGGAACAACTGCTTTAAGCTCTGAGATTTCATGACTTCTCTTGTTCCAAATGTTGGCCTTAGTTTCATCCCAAAGATTTGACAAAATTGGGAGAAAGATGCCAGTCTCCCCAAATGCTAATAGCCTGGTAATTAGGGAACTCACCTAAGGTGTGGTCTGAACCTGTGTTCAATCCCCCCGAGCATCCCTGGTACAAAAGTATTAGTTATTCTGTGGTGCCCCTCTCTTGCATTTGGTCTCAAAAGTCCCATCCCAGACTTCCTGCAATGCCAGCTTCATACAAATCTGTACGCCACCAAAAATATCAGAAAAAAACCCTATGAGTTTTATTTCCTCACAGTAAAAATAGTCCTTCTCAAGCCTTATTTAACCCTCTCATGGCACTCAACACTTTTCTAAGGTCAGACACATAAGGTCTCCATTTGATAGCTATCTGCACTGAATCCCTACAGAGTTCATAGGCGAATATATTAAAAGATATATTCAAATACTGTAAAAATGGGACAGGCTAGTCTTATCTGGAGAGGGAATATTAAAGTTCCTCTAATCTTTGTAATGTGTCGCGGGGCACCTCGCTACCCCACTCCTAAAGAGGGGAAAACTGCCAGAGGAAAAGCTCTGGCAGTGCATAAGGAGCCCTAGCGGCGATTAGGGAGTACAGCTGTGGGTTGCTGGGGCAACTAATGAGAGTCAGCTGCCTGTAGGAGGCAGGGCCTGGCCTTTATAAAGGCCAGGGCTGAAGCAAGGCTGGCAGTTCCCTGCTAGCAGCCGGAGAGGCCGGAGCTCCCTCGGCCAGGATATAGGGAGAACCCGGATCGCAAGTATAGCTCGCGAGAGCTCCAGAGGCTGGAGCAATGATGCTGAATTACAGCCAGGAGGCTTATGTTGTTATGGCCCAGTGCCTTAGGTTTTGGTTATAGCCAGGAGGCTTGTGTTTGCTTTAGTGTTTGTATTAAACCGGTGGCTAGGGTGAGGCTATAAGGGGTTGGAGGAGGCCTCATAGGAACGCCCAGAGGGGTGGGGGCCCCAGCGCCTGAGGAGGGCGCAGCGTGCTCATAAGGGCTCACAGGGTGTGGGGCCCTGGCGCCCGGGATGGCGCAGTATTCTCAGGGGTAATCCCAGCAGCGAGGGGACCCTGGCACCAGTAAGGGCGCAACTTGCGGGGTGCGTAGACCCCAGCCCCAGAGAAGGGGCGGCATTATTAGGGAGCCCAGCGTGGGCACAGCGAGCCCCAGATCAGGGGCGGCATTATTAAGAAAGCCCGAGCATGGGCGTGGCGAGCCCCAGGAAAGGGGAGCGCACTTTAGAGAAGCCCAGCGTGGGCACAGCGAGCCCCAGGAGGGGGCGGCACTATTAGGAAGCCCCAGCGTGGGCACAGCGAGCCCCGAAGAGGGGGAGCGCCTTATGGAGAAGCCTGAGACGGGTGTAGCGAGCCCGGGTGAAGGCTAGCACAGCGGGAGACCTCAGACAGGGGTAAGGTGCTGCGGTGGGCCCCGACAAAAGGGGTTAGCAGCACGGCACCCCAGGAGCAGGGCAAGGTGCTGCGGTGGTCCCCGGCTAAAGGGGATAGCAGTGCGGTGAGCCCGCATAAGAGAGGGTAGCAGTGCGGTGGGCCTAGAGGACCGGAGACTCGGGAGCAAGTCCCGGAGCGGGCTAGGTTATTTTAGAGAAGACCTCAGAAAAGGGGGCCGACATCGTAGGGAAGGCCCCAGGAAAGGGCCCAACATCGTAGGGAAGGCCCCAAATGGGCTCGGAGAGCTCAGGAGGGGGCAGTACAACAGAGAAGGCCCGGGAGGGCGGGCGAGTTGATTTTGACGGACCAACGTCCAGTACATCTGCGAGGCTTGGGGCGTGGTATTAGGGGTTGGTAGGAGCCACGCGTAGCCCATAAGGCTAGGGTGCCTGAGAACGCACCCAGTGTACAGGGAGACCCCTGGTGGGTCCGGGAGAACACGGGGACGGAGGGCCCAGCTAACCGTGCCTAGGAGACGTAAGGCAGCCTCCCAACCTAACTCAAGATCAAAGACGTGGCGGGCGAGAATAGAGGGTGCCCTTGGGCTGAATAGGCACGGAGAGGGTGCCTTAAGGAGATCACGGCCCTCCTATAGGACCCTGCCGTGACATAATGAATAAGCAGGGACTCTGTTACGTATGTTCCCATCAAATGAGCAGAAGTAGGACAGCAAAGACAAGTGAACAACAGTAGGTTTTCTGTGCGTGCAATTACTAAGAAGCTGACTACTTTCAAAAAGCAGGAGGTCAGACCGACCCCTTTCCTTGGAGCTTAAAAGAAACACAGTTTTATTTAATCTCACATCTGATCCAATGTGCTGCCTAGAAAAATTGCTTTTTAAGTGTTTACTGTGTATGTATTTTTAAGTTCCTAACTCACTCAGCTTGAATCATTTGTATTTCACTGGGAGCTAGCTGTATGTCACATACGCATAAGCTTTGATTGGACATATTTTCCATGGTATTAAGAACTGTTCCTGGGCAAAGTCTTCTATCTTTAACTTCCATTTTTGTACCTTGTACTCAATGCATGTCTCCACTTTCCCTGATGCCTTCCTCATCTGTTTCAGATGTTTTTCAGATAAGACCCAATACAATCCCTCAATGTGTACCTCCAATGTTCCTGCAAATAATAAAATTCGTACATTAATCAGGGGATGCTCAGGATGTTGTTATTTAAAGCAGTGCTGTAACTGTGCAAAGTGCTTTATAGGTACAGAAAACAAGGTGGCACATCTAATTTAGGAATCGGTGTTCCAGATTTATCCACCATTGCATGGGATGTAGAAGCTAACGACAAGCTTCCCACCTAACACACTCAGAGGCCTAGCTGATAGGATTTGCGCTCTGGATAGCCTGAGAACTACTGGGTTGCACTACTGGGTATGCGGTAGCCCCAGTCATCTTGTCTGCCTCATGTCTCTACCCCACTCCTGGGCAGGGCTCACAGTAGAGACGATCTCTATTATTAGACCAACCAGATTTTTGCAAAAAAAAAAAAAAAAGAAGAAATGGAGTTAATTGCAAGCTTTCAGGCACAAACACCCTTCATCAGGCATGGAGAAAAGATTGTAAAAGGTCTGCTGGGTGGAAATGAAAGTTCAGAGAAATGAAAGTTTCATTTCTACCCAGGAGAACTTACAAGCTTTTCTCCAATGCCTGATGAAAGGTATTTGTGCCCGAAAGCTTGCAATTAAAGAATTTCTTTTGCAAAAATCTTGCTCTATGAGCCCCGATTGCTTTTTCCTCTAGATCAATATGGCTACCGACCACTCCTAGGGAGACGCTCTTGCTGCGGAGGGAGGTGTCAGTGCAGCCAGGAAGTGAATGCAACCAACGCCAGGTGCAAGGACCCTCTCACAGTCCCCTGCTCACCCGCTTTACCCACCTACTGCCACCGCGAAGGAGATGAGAAGCTGACAAGGGACATGGGGCTCCACCGGCTGTGAGTGTGTCCTGCTCCCGCTCCCTATGGCCAAAGCCTAGGGCTGACTCTGATCTCCACCACATCCAAATGCCACCAATTTTTGGTGCCAATGACAAGGGACACCAGAAGATTCAGCAGCCTAGTGCCCCCTTTAAGTCCATTCTGGCTACCTCTTTAAATCAGTACCCAGGACTCATTCTCTGGTTGCCCACCCCTTGTTATGCTACTGAATACACTGGTCAGAGCGTGCTTTTGCTACATCCAGTTCAAACACAGAGAGTCTTAACATCTTGCAGGTTTGCACACAGATTTGTATCCCCAGCTCAACCCCCTGCAGTCTAACTCTGTAGTTGTCAGATAGGCAACCCAGGGGCAGGGTACTAGTCTATCCTGTAAGGTCAAACAAGCAAACAGTGCTCATTATATACTAGCCCAGCTAAATTTGTGACTAAATTCCCATCTACTTGTGTTACTCAAAATGTCTTTCTTAGCGATCATCATCACCTGTACTCCTACACACACATGCATATGCACATACACCTTGAGGATTAACAGAGGGAAAATAATCCGTGTCTTTTATGAACAACCATGACACCCTGAATTCACATTTTTCAGAAATATGGACTTTGATGTGATCCCCACACCGTTTCGTCCCCCAAGCTGAATTAACCCTACAGTTAAGATGATACTTAAAGACATAACTGTTGCACATAAACTATTCTAAGCGTATTTGTTTCTTCTTTTCTAAGCTCCTTATCTCATGTCGGCATAAAATAAAATATTTAAAATAAAAGATATTTCATCTGTCATCGTTTGTTTTGCAAACACACTGGAAATACTGGGGTAAAGATTTCTTTTCCCCCATCAGCCAAGAGAGCAATTCCTACTTGATAAAATACTGTCACAAACAGATGCGCACATTTTCTGGCAAGTACATTTTTGTACCACTAGGTCAAGGTGTAACGGAAAAAAACTGCTGGTCACATCATTTTATAATTTACAAACTAGAACATGGCTTGAAGGAGAATATAAAAAAATTAGAGATACTGGTTCCTTACAGTATATACAGGTAGTTGGTAGTCTCCAGAAGTTCATTGAGATAAGCAAAAGTGCAAGTGCCTATACAGATCTGTCTGAAGTACCCTGAAACTCATGCAAAACAGGGAAGATAACACTCTCAAAAACAGATTTGTTCCTGACAGATACAATATTTTCTTTTCTGACTGAGCTGAAATACCATATGGACAGCTGCTTTTACACTATTCCATTTTAAATCCGCTTAAGAAAAGCAACATCGGGATTTATGTTTCCCTTTAAACATGTGGCTTGCTTCATCCCATAATGAATACCCAAATGAAGAAGAAATCTTTTTTATTTTCCCCGTTTTATCAGTCTTTTTTCATGTCTAACATTTGCAGCATGTTCCAGGAAGGCAAAGTGATATAAAAACAGTTACAGTAACAAGCTGAAGTCAAGGCATACATATGTTCTCTCTCTTGACTGCTCTGGCTTTGCTGCATGATTTTGGACAATTTCCATAGCCCTTAATTTCCCCTGTCTAGAAAATGGAGATAATACTAGCTCCCATCGGTATAGCATGCTCATGGTAGGAAAGGCCTCAATCGTGCAGGCTGATCAGTACTGACAGCCCTCTACGAGTGAATGAGCGCTGTCCAATTTGTATCTCCATAGCTACATCACTTCCCAGGCAGAGCAGCCTAGTGGATTGGGACATTTTTTCCCCCTTTTTCATTGTCAGTTGCTGCTGATGAGTCCTTTTTCTGTATTCTTAAATATACCTCAAGCTCATGCTTACCTTTAAGTGCCTGCTTAAATACTATTACAATCAATGAGGCTACTGAATAGGCATGATTTGCTGAATCAGGGCCAAAAACAGGAAAGAAAAGAATATGTATTTTTAATTTAAAACCTCTCATTTACCAAGATAAGAGGTAGAAATATGAGCACGTTAAAAATAGATATCTAACCTTCTACTGCCTCTCCAAAGTGGGTGGGTATCAAAGAAAAGAGATGGCTGTAAGGAGTGAAAAGAAAATGGTGTCAATTATTCATCAGTGCTATTATAGCAAGTGAAAAAAAAATCTGCACAGTCTTAAACATTGCCCCAAGTGAACTGCTCTTGAAGAATTTGATTTATTAGCACATCTAATTAACATCCACTCTTTTATTGCCTTTACACTGCTGTAGAAACCAATGTTGCAACTGGGGTGAGGTTATCTCATTTCTGTTAATTGTCCAGTTCAGCCCTAGCAAGTAATGGTGTCTGAAATAATTCCCTTGTAAGCACTTTATACAGTACTGATTTCTAGTTTAAAACTGGAAGGGTAAAAGGATAAGAGAGAATTCAGATTGGTCATGAATTCCTTTGTAAGTGAAACATAACATTTAAAGACTCCTACGCATTTTAACAAAGGCCGTATTTTCAAAAGATACCTATATTCTGCTGGGAAAATACCCGGGCCCAGCAAACAATTAGCCCATTACATATCCCAAACTAGCCGAGGCATTCAAACACTGTAGGTGTCATTTCAGGAACAACTTTTTCCAGGATACTTTTGCCACCTTCAGCTCATAACTTTGCCCTTTGTACTAACAAGGCCTAATACTTCCCACATACACACCCTGCTATCCACCGGCCCATATTCAACACTAAAGAGATTTCACGTCTACTAATGGGGGGTTATGACAGATATTAAACTGGCATACAGGTCTGAGCTGTGGATGATGTACAATACAGGAGATCATAGGAATCAGTAGAGAAAATTAGACGGAGGATTTATATTGAACTGTTGCTGATGCTGGCCAGATCCTGATGCTGGAAAAGATATACAAATATTTAACAGCTAATTATGCAATACAGGGCCAAGGAGAAGGAAGTTTCCTATTGCTATCCACTCAGAAACTGGTTCAGTCTTTGAAATGCAGAGATTTAGGCTCCTTGTAAAATTACTCATGCTTATCTGATGTGGAAAACCTCACTATTCACAAGAACTTAGTACATTAAAACCATATTGATAGGTTCTTAACCTCAATAAAATCTTGTGGCAATGAGTTTCATAGCTTATTTTTATATGATGTGAAGCAGTATTTTCTTTTGTTGGTAATAAATGTAATCACTTTCAACTTCAAGAAATGGCTTTCTTCCTTTATTGTACAACACGTAATTGAGAGTGGCCAAGTTATGTATTCTATTCATTTTATATCCTTTCTTTATGGTCCTTCTTATACGTCTCCTTTTAAATCTATCCCAACGTCTTTAGTCTTTCCGTGTCATTAATCACTCCCCTAGATTATCTTTGAAATCTCATTTATTTCTGCTGTTTGTTTTTCAAAGGAAACTGGCTGGATCTAAATGTAGTACTCCAAGCAATGGCATTTATTCATTCATGGGTGGAACATATCCCAGTAAACCAACTTCATCCATAGTGACTTAAATCAGGACAAAAAAAAAATCTATGTAATATATCTGAATTGTTTTGTCCATGTTTAGGCTATTTGTAGACAAAAGCACCCATTGTCTCTCTCAGATAAGCACCAAGCATATTACCATAAACACCGTATCATGTTGCAGAAAAAGCAGAAGCCTTCTGCTGAAAATTTAGGCCCTGTCTTTGCTGGGTTAATGGACGGCTCTACAATGGGAGAGACAAAATAGTTCTGCTGTCCCTACTCTCTTCAATCAATAGAGGCTCTTGTTAAGGATTTTATAACACAACCCAAATGACCAACTGAGTTTTGGTATTACAGCATCAAAAAGGGTCCAACAACAGAAGAGGCACTTTCTTTCCAACCCGTGCAATGTGAAGAAGGTGCTAATGATTCATAGCTGTTAATAACTTTTCCAATGACTTTTTCCTCCAATACTGTTTTATGCCATTTATTGCTTGCAATTTGGCTTGCTTAGCCCATGCTGATATCTTCATATTTGCTCCAGCATGCAGATTTACACGTACTTAATATCTTTGCTGTTGCATAAGCAGAGAGCTGCCATCTAACCATTAACACTGGCTCGCTTTCTTAGGTAACGAACAAGCCGGATAGAAAGTTTTAACTGCAAGTATAGCTTAATAGTCTCGTGATTGCTGAAACATTGAAAGGGTTTCTTGTATTAAATATTTAAAGAAGATTACCTGGCACAATTTTGTAGGAAGTCAGTCAGGAGAAATTTAAATTTCCAGGTTGGAAAACCCAGAGAGTAATTATGTGGGCTGAAATGCATATGTAGATGATGACCAGGGCTGGCTGAGGCACAAGGGTCCTAAAGTGCAGGGACTGCCCACTGCCTAGCCCCATACTTTAGCAACCTTGCACCCCAGCCAGCCCCTCGGCTGCCCGATGCCACCACCCACAAGCCAGGGCTGACCTCCAGATCCCCCTGCCAACCTGGGGTTACTCTGCCTTGGCTCAAAGTGCTGCAGTCCTGGGTGCACATGTAGACGCTGCACTCAGGAGCAGCTGACTCCAGCCCAAGCTGCGCCACAGTTTATTTCTTCATCTTAATAGCACCTATAGATGCGCACACAGTGTCTAGAATTTGCCCATTACTTTGCGAGGGAGAGTGACTGAGATGCAGTGTTCAGCTGATGCAGTCGTCTCCTAAATGTTCAGGGTGGTTTTAACAGCGTATTTTTTTTTATGTCTGACTAAAGTCACTGAACAAAATCTTCCTTTTCTATTTAGCACATTCATTTGCAACCTTGAAAGCTTTTTCATTCGGTGGAAGTTGGACGATAACAGTAATGGATGTAAAGATGTTCTGTATAGAACAATGCTCTATGCGCTGCGTCTTTTTCTTATGAATTAGCACAAATACATTAATTTAGTTGCGGGAGAGTTAGCACCATGTGTACAAGGGGATATTTTCAGTCGCTTTTTATCATTTTTTTTTCATCATTTATTTGACCAACTTTGGGAGACTAGTGAACTGTTTGTCTTGATTTTTCTAATGTGTTTTTTGGGAAGTAAATTACCTGTTAGTTTTACCTGCTTCCATGTGCACCACTCTCACACTACAAAGAAAGGACTTTGCTATGGTAGTGATAAGCATTTAAAATATCCACACCTTTCCTTTGCCGCTGTCTCCCTGCTGCACCTCACCTCCTTAGAACCTGAAGAGGTAACTGAATTGGGACCCAGCTCTTCAACCCACAGCCATGGAGGATGCTCTCATCAGAGGGGTTCAGTTGCACACGGCTGCTGCAGCAGGCTAAGGGAGTGTGCATTCCCTACGCACAACCGTGCTCTGCAGAGATGCCCTAAAACTTCCCCTCTGGGGCGAGGTGGGAGACAGCATGCTTTAACCAAGAGAACAATGGAGCCAGGCCAGAGACCTTGCTGCGATACTCTAGCAGCAGCTGACAAATGAGACCAAGTGTGGACAAGATCCCCCTCCCTGGCCACCATTCCAGTCCAGCATTTGGCCCAGGTACAAAGTCACTGTCCACTTCCCTTTAGTTACCATTCCTCTGGAGAGTTTTGCTGAGCTGTTATACAACGAAAGACCTCTTACTAGGCTAATCTTCTATGAAGCCTTTAGTTCATTTGATGCCTATTATCATAGAATCAGAGAAAATGAGGGCTGGAAGGGACCTCAGGAGGTCACATTTGGATCAACCCGCTGCTCAAAGCAAGACCATCTCCAACTAGATCATCCCAGCCAAAGATCTGTCTACCCAGATCATAAAACCTCCAAGGATGGGAAGTCCACTGCCTCAACCTGTTCCGGTGTTTTACTACTCTCCTAGTGAGAAAGTTCTTCCTAATATGTAAGCTAAACTTCCCTTGCTGCAACTTGAGACCATTGCTCCTTGTTCTGCCATCTGCCACCACTGAGAAGAGCCCAGCTCCATCCTCTTTCAAACCCCCCCAGTTGAAGGCTGCTACAGTCCCCCTACAGTCTTCTCTTCTCTAGACTAAATAAGCCCCATTTCCCAGTCCCCCAGTTCCCTCCCTACAGTTCTCATACATTTAATATTCCCCACCCCAGACCTCTGACCTAGCCACGAAAAGTATATTATTCATAATCATTTAATGAACTTAAGTGACAACTATACCCCACCTTATACAACATCGCCTTATTTCAATTTAATTTGACTTAACACAGGGTTTTATGAAGGCCATGCAACAGACTTGAGCAAGAGGGACTCCACAGAATTCAACCACTTCAGAAATGTCTTAGCCTAATTCCTAGTAAAGGAACCAATTTAAATAAAAAAGATTTTCTAATCAAATGAAGTTGTTTTCTTCCAAAAAAAAAAGGCCCCCCCTCCTTATCAGATAACAATCTCCATTTATCTCATACCTGAGGCAAGCTAGTTATGAACATTGCCTGTGACAGCGCACCATCCATTATGTAAAAATCCATAATGCTACAACGTATTATGCCTAATATTTAACATATTCCTTTTCATCTAAGAGTTAGGAATGCATCTGAACATTTCTAATAGCACAGACCTTAATTGAGGAACATGCATTAAATTCTGTTAAGCAATAGTCTTGCTAAAAGTGTTTTTGCTATTAACAGAAAGAAACATTTTTCAAAAGTAATAGTAATAGCCAAAGGTTTCATTTTAACTAACACATTGATTAAGAAGACAAGGGAGGGGGGGCTTCTGTTAGAAGTTAAGGATTCATAATTAAGTGGATAATAAGTGGGAGAAATGCAATTTAATATTTGAAAGAGGGACTCTATATTGAGTAATGTGTATATACTGTGTATATAGTATATATACACCTATACACACACACATATACATACGCACCCCCTATATATATACCTATATATATACACCTATATCTATCTATCTATCTATCTATCTATATACACCTATATATACACACACACACACACACCCCTATATATTGTATATATGCACCTGTATCTGAGAGACGATTGAACAATTTGCAGAGAAGGTATTCACTGAGTTTTGCCCTTTCCTGCTTCTGGATCATTGTGATAGGTCAGGAGGTGGGTGCTTCCACCCCTGTAGTCTCCACTCTACACAGGAACTCCCG